TCTCTCTCTCTCTCTCAACCCTCCGTTTCCTTTCTCTCTCTCAAACTCAACCACTCACCCATCCACTAACTCACCCCCGCACACATTGAGTGTCAAACTGAACATGCGTATAGCGTGTTTCAAACTGTGCATGCACAATGGTTTCTACTCTCACTCTCTTTGTCCAATACGACAAAAACTCATTGTCCTTGACTGAAATGAGTTACACTCACATGCACACACATACATAAACACATACACGCCTCGACCCTCTACAGTAGAGTGAACACATACAACTGGACTCTACCCAGCAAATAATGGATATGTTGGAAAGGCTGGATTCTTGATAATAGATTTTTACACTTGAGAAGCACTTGATTCATATTAGGACAAAGAAGGCAAGCTTTATTTACGTACATTATTCAATGCTTTAGGGCTTCCTGGAGTTTACAACATCTTTGCATTAGAGAGGCACTGTATTTTGCATAATGTATGGTAGGCTCAAACCAACTCTAGGCTTCAATCAACCTTTTAGATAATTAAAAAAATAATATATTCATGTATTTAGCTGATTTATAATCTTTTTGTGGTTTATCTCTTTATTTTATTATTTTATTTTATTTCATAAAAAACAAATGAATAAACCTATTACGTCCATTCACTGATTATGGTTTGTGAAAGCCTAGAGCAGAACTGTCTTAGGACGTGAAAGGGAGATATCCACATAAACATTAAGACCACGTTTCTGTTTTCAATGTATTTTCAACCTTCATCAAATGTGTTCCTTGGGGGTCTTATGCATCCACATAAATCAACAGCACATTAATTCAATTTGATATTTTTGTCTTGACACATAAATAAGAATGTGTTCCCTTTTCTCCACTATATTTGATGGCAGCTTGATGACTCACATACACACAAAAAGGGATAATAATTGCATACATATTGCCACCCTGGGGGACATATTTTAAAAAAACAACAACAACAGAAACCCCCACTAAGTAATCAAAATGTGTAAGCGGAGAAAAAAACTGTCACTGTGCCTTCCATGCCCATACTACAAGATGAACTGTGTGGTCTAAGATAAACATAATGGTGGGAGCCAACTTTTCCCAAAATGAGTAATGTTCCAGGTAAAAAACCTCACAGGCAAAAACTGTGACAATGTCAAATCAGCAAGCCTGGTGTAATGGGAAGCTTTTGCATCAGGAGACATGTTGAAATGTCAAACTAAAACACTGGGAGCAGTTTTAAAAGACAGAAATGGAGCACCAGAGCGGCTTTTAAATACATAAGTAGTTTGAGACTGAGTTTTAAAATATAAAAACCCAGGTAGCAGTGTTTGAATCAAAATGCAAAGAGAAAAAGACGTGTGCATGTATAGCACGTCATTCTGAGCCACATGCGTATCAGATCCATCAGTATCTCTGATTGCATGATGGTTATGGAACTTGTGTTGTGTTGTTGTGTTGTATATTAAACAGCAGTTAAACTTCTGTACACTACAGGATAGGAATAAGAAGAAGGAGAAGAAGGGTTTTTTAGAGTCACTGCATCCAAATGAGACTTCAGAATTTCTGATAATCAGTTATGAGAACAGGAAAATGTGACATGTTAAGAAGAAAAACAGCTTGGATATTTATGCTATTATTTATTAATATGAGTGAGTGTGAGTGATATCACCAAAGGCACGTTCCTAAGTCTGTTACACTGATGGACTGTGTTGTGCTGATTATAGAACTTTTTTTATTGGGGGCAAAGTTGGCCAATAATGCTAGCAGCCATCAATTGACTGTATTCCCACTGGACATCCCCCTCCGCTTCAAGTAAAAGAAATGGCTGAACTTAATTAAATGATGTCTTGCTCTTTGATAGTCTTGATTTAGAGTGAGATCATTTTCTTTTTCTGATCATCCCTCCAGTTAATTAAACTGCAAGGGGACAAAATGCCAAAGACCAGGCCAAGAGCAACTCCCTACAATAGCTATGGCTATTTGGCTAGCACAGATGTTATTGGCTGAAGCATTTTGGTGAGAAGTGAGAAGCTTTCGAGCTCACTATACAACAGCGATTAACATTGACTTCTAAACTTTTAGTCTAAAATTTTAAGTGAATTAGCATTTAGACAATCTAGAATAGTCAATTCAAATTAAAAAAAAAATCTCTAATGCCATACCACTACAATTGAGCCACTAAATACACATATAATACACACAACTGTCCGTGGCTGCCAGCTACAGATGCAATTACTTTTAGTATGACACTTAAGCTTGTTTTGAGCATAAAACCAGTATCTTTATCGGATTTGTTGAAAATCTCTGACCAGCCTCATGAACACCACACCAAACCAGCTCACCTCTAGTTGCTGAGCCCTGGGGTTTTTAGGGTCACAGAGGGAAGTGTTAATCCTGTGGTTGTGTTTCACACAGCGCTGAGTTGTGTTTTGAGGCATGGGGAACGTCTGGCGCACCAACGTCAGCCGACCGATCGACTTCATAACCAACTCCTGTAAGTCGTAGTCTGAGATCTCCTGAGAGGGTGGAAAGAGGACAAGGATGGTGGTAGGGGTAGGTGGACGAATGATCAGAAAAAGAGAGAGTAGGGAATCAGAGAAATTATAATATCAATATTAATGCTCCATTAAATCATTTATTGCTGAAGGAGACTTATAGCCAACATTTCTGACAAGAAAATATAAAGAACAGTAACCACAACAAAAACTTTTTGGATCCCACTTCATAAATGTGCCTGTAAAAACAAAATGTTTCCAATTCATACTCAAAAGACATATTTTTAGAGGTTTAAGCCTTGTTTTATATGCTCTACTTTTCCCATTATCACCACACTGTGCCGGGAAAAAACACTGTCTACATCATCTGCAAAAATAGTTATTAGATATGAAAGGTACATGTCAGCAGATGGAAGAAACAAGAGAGACGAGTAAAAAGTGTGGACGTGTGTGTCTGAGTGTTTGTGCTTGTTGTGTACATACATGTGTGTTTGCACGTACTCTGCATGTCCTTGCAAAACCTTGGGGAGGAATCATTGCTAATTTTAGCTCTAGGACACAATCTCTCTCTCCCTCTTTCCATCCATGGATCTCCATCCATCCTCTGTGAGTGCAGAGGGTCATGTGGTGACGAGATGAGAACTGACGTTTATCGTCCCTGGTGGAGGTAACACTGCCACCAACCGAGACAGCCTTTGCTTTCTTTGTATAAGTGTGCAGTGATCGTCTGGCTTTGTGTGTGCTTGAATATGTCTTGTGTGCACATGCCCGTTTATGTGTGAATCTGTGGGTGTGTGCATATGTTTTGATGAGATTGTTTTTAAGCCTTCCGATCATGCAAAACCTTTTTGATTCCATTTCATTTGCACATGGCAGCCCACATGACAGGATGGATGGCACTCTGCCTGCAGACCATGCACATACATAAACAAGCCATCACACACATTTTATATTAGTGAGGGATAATATTATAGGTACCACTGGTTCATTGACTAATCTCAATGGATTTTCTTTGAGTGTAATTAACGTTCATTAAGACCTGTGAGTCCTTGTGATCAATGGTGATTAGAGGAGGTAATATACAGGCTTCATGGGTGTAGCTCTACTCATCTGCTTTAATTAGGTTGATATATGGCCCTCGTTCTATATGGACAAATTTGCTTCTGAAATCAAACTGATGCTGTAAAGAATAATTTAAATAAGGTATGTCAGATTTGAGATTCAAAGTTGCACATTGACAGTAAAGTTCAAAGATTGTGCTTCTTCACTTTTTCCTCTGCCGTCAAATCTAATTAGGTTCTTGAAATATAGTCAGTGAACTGCGAATTTTAGTCCTACAGTTGATTAGAATTACTTAAAAATATATAAAAACAGAATAAAGGATATTCATGCCTTGAAGAAGAACAGGTTTAACCTTTTATGAATGGCTTGTGCTCTAAAATATCTACTTTCTAAACAGTTCAAGTAAGGAGTCTATCTGCTGGATTTTGGTTGTAAAACGTGGCAAAAATCCCAAACAGTTGCTTACATAAAAACCCTGAAGGGAACTGAATTACAAAGCCAACAAAAAAGATGCAGGACAGAGGGAAAATGCTGAAAATTGCTAAAAAGGCAGATCTGTGGGCCAAAAGAGAATTAAGATTCACAGCGGGCAGTCAAGGGCATGCAAAGAAACATCGGCAGGCAAGAATTATCCAGAGTATCCCACTCAAAGGATCAAACTCAAACAAATATAGATGCACCAATGCACAGGCATACTAAAACACACACACACAGACATGCTGAAACTTAAAAGGAAAAAGATCATTTTGAGATTTGTCCTCTCAACAGGTGCGTGTCCATCTTTCTTCCTTTATCACTTTCTGTTTGCCTCTTTGTCTCTGGAGACAGACTAAACAGACTTCACCCAGTATGACTTTCAGTGGTGGCGTGTTCTAAAAGCTGTTGGCCTTGCAACAGCTGAGACTAAATGAATGTGACACGTTCATACACATACTGAATAAATTTTTATAATTAATAATTTTTATTTAAATCACACTCTCACGTACGGCACATCAACACACATGGGGGTCCTGGGAGAGAGAAGGTACTGGTGCAGAGTTGACATTCACCTCATATTATCAAACTGCTCTTTTTTTTCCACATCTCTCATAACTTCCCTCAGGCTACTTACTGTCAACCTTCTTATGGGCCTCTTCAATCAAAACGTTAAAATCAGACCACCATCAAAAAAATAAATGACATCATGCGAACTCTCAGATAAGAGTTTGATTTAGTACAATTTGGTTTATAAAAACCAAACCTGAACAAAATCATTTGATTTGACCTTCAAAAACAAGTATGGAATAATTACTGCTGATTGCCTTATTAACAGCTTGAGAGAATCTATAATCAAACTCAGTAAGTGACTTATCCACCTAGTTTTCAGTTACCTTTTCAATCATTCAGTTGTAATCAGCATTTGAACAAAAGTAGCATTATTGTTAATCTACCCACCCTTTCAAGCTGAATAATCAATTTAAAAATCTTTCAGTCCCAAGGATGATTGAGTGGTCACTAATTTTGTCCAAATACCTCAAACAAGGAGCTTTAGGTAAGTTGGAACCCCCCAAACGTCCTGCAGCTTATATCTGGAGTGAGTCATGAGTTGTTTACTCCATAAACTTGAAGTTTTGGTCTGCAGGCATCCCCATCAACCTCAACCCTCCACCTCTCTGTCCTTCCCTCCATTCCCTGAGAGCACCAAATCCTCTTATTCAGTGTTTTATTTAAAGAGGAGAGTCAAAAGCAAAAACACTTCCCTCATCCTCAATTCTTGTTAGAACTTCTTCCCTGACCCCTATACTTTGTCCTCAACCCCTCTCTTTTTCTACATCTCCCCTAGAGACACAAAATCCCTTCTTCTCTCTTCTTATCTGTAGATGAGGGGGAAAAGCTGATTTTATTTATTCTTTGACCCTTTCTTCCTCGTTCTCCTCTTTTCTACGAGAACACCAAATCCTCCCTGTTTTACTTGCATTCAAAAGGTTCAAAGTTGTGAAAAACAAAACTGTAAAAAGCACATCTCATTTCATTTGCCCTCTCTTGCCTCTCCACTTTTACCCCCGAAATGTCTCCTCCACTTTGACTCTTCTCTGTCACTCTCTATTTTCTGTGCTCCCCCTGCCCCCATGTTTAGCACATTTATGGGTTGTGTGATCCTTTGGATGGGCACATCTTCCTGTCCTCATTTACAATCAAATGGAGAAGAGGGGTATAGCAAAGGTAGGAACAGCAAGATGATGGAAAGTGGAGTGAAATGACTGAAAATGCTAAATGTTAAAACCAAGTTAATAAGTGCATGCAGCCAGGCAGTACATCGTAAAGGCAAAGGATTACAGTACAATGGTGAAAAAGCGAAATAAATATATGTCATGGCTGTAAAAAAAAAAAAAAAAAAGCATTCCAATGAAGAACAAATGGAAAACAAAACTGTGAAAAAGTTTCTGATTCAGATCCCTAGACCAATATGGAAAAATCAGTGTGTTACACTTGCCATGAACGAGACACAAAAATAAGACTCTAACAGCTCCAGGAGAGCCGCTTAGCAACAACAGTAGTCTTAGATGGCTGCAGTCATACTGGGCAACTTCCAGCTGTGCACACAGTGTGCACAACTGACTCGTTCTGCAGGCACTTCTGTAGCTGTAAATAAGAATGTTCTTTCAAATAGCTAAGACTGAAGCTTAAAAGAAGTTACAGTAACAATGAATGACATTAACTACCATACAGTTCTTGAGTTTGTACAATAGGTTTTGATATAGTTTCATTATTCAAAGGTTTGTCGAATGTTCTTTGTTCTCCTGTAGAAGACCATACAATCCTTTTGATCATGTTCAAAGCATGAAAATCCCCCAAATTTCTGTTACATGGCTTTCACAGGCTATCCATGCAGTCACATGTTAAGAGCCAAAATGTCAGAAAAGCCTAATCTCGTCTCATCTCATTATGCACTTATTCCCTTGAGAAACAAAAAGGCAGAACTGAATGGAAAGAAAGAGAATAATAAAGAAAGAGTGTGAACGGCAACATGGAAGATCAAGAATTATAGCATGACAGAAAATGAAAGACCATGAAGAGATTCAGAACAAGCAGCAGAGTTATCCTTCAAATTTAAGAGAAAGACCGCGAGAAAGAGAAGCCACGAGTGTCCCTTATTATTTCTCCCCCTCCTCATCCTCATCCTCATCCTCTCATCCTGAGCAGAACGAAGGAGATGGGGAGAAGAAGGATGATCAATTATGAACTGTGAACTCCCCCTCAGTGGGGCTGTCTGACTGCTGGCTGTAGATAAAGCAGAGTTATGACAACCATACAGTGCCCCTTCATCCATAATAAACCACAGGGAGGGAGAGCACTTTCACACATAGGAATATTCATTCTCCAAAGAACCAGCACTAGAAGACATTACGTATGACAAAATATTGTAGCTGCTCATCCATTTTAAACTCTCTGCTAGAGGACTTCACATAGCCCATGGTGGGAATATTGTGTCTACATCCGAACAATCTGTGACTACATTTCATCTTGATCCTGCTAAGCATATTTAAAACACTGAACCATTAAAAAGAGGAGGTATGAAGCTTTTCTTTAAATAATTCGAATATTTGATGTTTAGTATTGTTTAGAGTGAATGGAGCAGGAGAAAGAAAAGAAGGAGCCCATCAGACATGGCTCCCTCATGAATGCCTTAACCGACTTAGCATAAACGTACATTTTTAATCCAACAGGATTCTTGCACTTGTTTTTTCTATAACTATCCCATTGTTCCATTTGTCCAGAATCACAGGAATTTTGCAACAAAGCTGATAAATATTTTTAGCAACCTAGCAGATTGGATGTTGACTGAAAAACACAGTTACTGAGCAGATTTATGAAATGATTATCATCTTGTCAATGTGATTGAGGTAAATCTAAAATGCTTTCCAGTATGTTCACAGGTTCAACTGTTGTACACTCAGATCTTGAGTAAAACAATTCACTAACGAAGAATGAAGAGTTTACTCTTAAGAAAAGTAGATATCTTGAAAACAGATTTTAGAACCTTCATGTCATATTATTTTTTTCGGAAGTGATAAAGTAAGATAACTTAATTCAGTTCATGTCACCTCATCTCCCCTAAGGTTTTCCCTTTCTCCTTCACTTTCCTCTTCTTTCTTCATTTCTGGACATCTATTGTTTGTTCCAACTCCATCTCCCTTTTCCTTCTCATCGTCATTACCCATGTATTCTTACTTCTATAGGAAATATAAAACCATTTGCCACATTTATCTTATCTGTGAATGTGGTAAGTTAGAAAACAATCCCATATAAGAAGCAAACAAAGCTTAACTTGTTGTAAGTTTACTATAATAACAGTAAGAAAACATATTGGTGATATTATGCCATTGCTAAAACATTAACAACTGAGGGAGCATGGGCCTGCCAGGCTGCATATCACTATTGATTCCTCAAAGGCAGCAGGTACAAAGTGTTACAGGCTACATGCTGCTAGACACACACACAGGCTGGAGAATGACATGTTAAACCTCCCAGAAAGCTAAGCAAAGAGCAGGATGCTGCCAGGAAGCCTGAAGAGTGTTAGACAATACCAGATGCTTGACAGGATGCAAAGCAATATGAACGCAGTCTATTAGACAGCTAGACTTGAATTTAGCCTACCAGGCAGTCGAGCAATGATAGACTGCACAGTAGGCTGCTTGACATTGCCATCTGCCAAAAAAGTGTACAAAGACAATCTCTTAGGAAAGAGTAAGACTCACTTTTTTTAAGTGAACGGTAAATTCTCTAGTGTTACATTATGAAATGCACATTATAGTGGGCCATCTACTTCAATTAGCAGAGGAGACACATTTAAGAGGCATTACAGTCCTTCTGTGAAGTCAGTAACTAATAAAGAGTGGTTGTTTGGAACAGATTTATCCACATTTTTACCTATGATAAGTCTTCCATCTCTATTAAAGTGCAGGGATGAGGCTTATTCTTTTCCCTCCCTGGAAGTATTAGCATTTTTAGAAAATGCAAAAACAAGACTGAGAGGTTGTTTGAGGTACTTGTGGGGATTCTCACAATGTTACTGCAACCTCTCACTCATATCAAATATGAAAAATTAAAAACCTCCATAGCGCAGGACTGACATTCTAAAGGCGGACATCAGAAAATAATGATTGGCTGTCCCAGCAGCATTAATGGATGTCATGCATACTAACGTTTGCTTCAAACTGAAATACTTTGTTTGCATAACCGAGGAAGTAAGAAGACTGCTGAGCCTTGTAGCATTTAGCAGCATTACAGCCTATGGTTTGAGAATGGAACAGAGAGGCTACAGTATACTGAAGCATCTGAGTAGCTTCTCTTTTTTTGTACCAAATTAAGTTTTTCATTGTTCATACAGTAAATGTTGATTTTTGCTCTTCCTCCAATACATCTGCTTATGTCTGTGGTCGTGCTAACGCACTCACGTGTGTGTGTGAGTGTGTGGCAGCATGGACCCCCTGCTGGCAGTTCACTGTAATGCCCAAGGCTGCCAAGACACAGTGCATTAGCTAGCAGTGTACATACACACCCAAACACACACACACAAATATAACTGATCCTGCTGCTTTTGTAAAAGACACTACTACTCACGAAGCCAGATCAAAGATGTGTTCCTATTCAAAATTAGCATAAAATAATAGCCAATATTAAAGTTTAATTAGGTTTCTACTGTCGCTCTGGTCAGTCACTTTGAATGTGGTCGAGAGAAAAATCACAGGATTGAAGCTGTGCACTTTGAGGAATAGGACAGTTTCTTAGTGCTTGTCTGCTCTCATTAATCCAGAATGTCCTTAATATTTAAGTATTGGCCCTGAATTGGGGGGAATTGGGGAATATATGCTCATCCAAGGTCACCTTTGTCATTTCTGAAACCTTTGTTTGTAGAAAATGGCTCTATCTTAAATAAATGGTGAGCAATAAAACATATAAAATCTTTACTGTATTGTTCTGCCTGCGGTGCAAAGCAGCAGGTGCTCACTAAAACAAACTAAATTGTCCTTGGTCATCAAGTTTTGAGAGTTTCAAGGGATGAACTGATGTGAAACAAAAGGAGTCAAAAACTTTTAAAGCTCTCATCTCTCCTCCAGACACCCAAGACAATGAAGAGAGTTCTGGGTCTAAAACCATAAATATTCCTAGGATAATTGAAACAATAAGGGGAACTGAAAGCACACCCAGTAGAGGATCCATAAATCATTTCCATGGCACTCACCTCATTTATCAGGATCCAGTGACAATCAAAGGCCACCAGGTTGGTCTCCACCACCTGCAACACAACAAAACACAACATTGCATTTAGAATTAAGAAAAAAAGGTGTCATTAATTTGGTAAAAATAAGCAGACTTTAGATATATCACTGGTCAAAAGGGAAAGGAGTTAGGAGACAAGTAGTCTTTTTTTGTCTTAAAATATATTTCTTGCTCAGATAATGTAATTCATGGTATTTCAGTGTGAATATTATGGAAAAGAACATTATGGAAATGTGTACGCCTGAAACCTGCTGTGGAGCTTTGGCATAAGTGATCTGAAAAAAAGTTGCATCAAAGGTGCTCAAGGTATCATTCAAAAATCTTTTCAAACGCATGCGGCAATGTTTGGTTGTGTGTGACAGAATACTCAAAAACACACACAAACACAGACTTAAATCTCTACACTAGAACTTTTCTCACTAATTTACACAGATTAGACACACTTCTGATGGGACCTGTCTGTTTTATAGTCACACACCCACACACACACACATACCTAGCCACAAATACACTGCCTCAGAATAGTATGTGTCGACAGGGAAAAAGAAAACCTTTTCCATCAATTTTTAATGGTGCAACTTAAATATTTAAATGTGTCAACTCTTAACCAGTAACTACATAGCTGTTAAACACTGCAGCAAGGACACTTTGAAACTGTGCTGCCTAGATGACAGAGACAAGGCAAAATCATTTTGAACTCCAAACACACCTAAAGTACATTTGCACATACATTTCGGTTTTGTCACCCATTCCCCTTAACATAGCAGCAGTAGCTTTCTTTTAGGTTGCTCTTTACCTGCTTTTTCCAGTGGCCCTTTACCCTTGTTTCACACCCCTTTCCTGATAATTTTCTCCTACAAGCATGACCCCGCCTTCTGTCTCCTCTTTTCCTAAACCCAACATTAATACACAAGTGGATCACACATTATCAAAACAGCTACATCTTGAACTACTGAGAGTAAAGAGCCCTCTCTCACACTGCTAGGAAGTTTCATTTATTAGTGCATATGTCTGTTGTTTGGCTTTCTTTACCCTTTCTTCAAATGGCCAGGAGACAGCTGGACAGTTTGTAGAACATCATTTAAGGGGAGGTAAAGGATAACTTTTCTAAAGAATAAGTACAGTGCCATTAAGATCCTACAAAAAGTAGATGTAGCCAAGCAAAAAATAGATGTTTTAATGCAACTCCCTGGTTCTCTTTGTCTGCTAACTCAAACCAAATAGTACTGTCATTTATTACCCGCTCTCTCTGTTGTTTGCTATCATCTCTTGTCTCTTATCCTCTACCCACCTCTCTCTTTACAAAACCATTTCGAGACATATCACTCCATCTGTATCATTTACTTTTGAACAAGGACGAGGGTTCAGTCTTGTTACCTTGCTTTTGACTTCTTTTGTCAGAAACACTTGTTTCTGCCTCTCACCTCTTTCGTCTCTCATTTTCTCCCTCGCAATCCCACCCGACCCTTTAATTTTGTTCTCTTATCTTTCGTCCTGCCTCACTTCTCATCCCATCATCTTTGCTCTCTTTTAATTGCTCACTTCCCGCTCTGTGACTGCACCCACTGCTCTCCTTCCCTCCTCTCCTTCCCTCCTCTCAACCCCTCCACTCCTGGTGTAAAAATACAGTGGCACTCGTATATCATTAGCTATAATTGTCTAGGTGACTATAGCGCCGTGTGTCATAAAACACTTTTTAGCCGTAAACAAAAGGCAACAGCTGGAGAGGGTGGCGGAGCGTGGCTAATAGTGGTTTAATCTCCCACAGAGTCTCCATAAAACTTCATCATTATAACACCGACGGCTGCCGTAAAACACTCGGTCTACAGGAAACACTGTTGCGACACAGACAAGAAGTAAGGTAGGAAGGAGAATGATGAAGAGAGATGCAAAACAAGATTTTTGCCATAATCTTTCTTCTCTGTCAGCAGAGAAGAGAGACACAGAAGAAAAGCCAATGGTTTGGCAAGCTGTTTTTCTGTTCGCCATTTATCTGTCTGTCTTTCTATCTGGCTGTCCTTCTTGTTCCCTTGGTACTCATTAAGATTTCAGACAATATTCACATCGGCAAAACTGACTTTTTAAACATGAAAATACAAAACGGTGTGTGCGCGCCTTAATTTGTGAATGCACTTGCATATGTAAAATAATGTAAATATGTTGATGTTGATGTTGTTTGTGAGTATGCAAGGATTGGCGGATGCGAGTTTTCCACTTGTCCCATTATAACTTCCCTCTGGCAGGCGTCTGGACAGATGTTTCAAGCTAATTAGCGAAAGGGCAGACTCCTAACACTAGACGTGACTCCTCAGGGGTTGGATCAGTTCAATGCACTCACTCTCCCTCCACCTTCTCGTCTCTCTCTCACACACACACAGCAGCAGGCACACGACACTGACACAGCACCCACAAAGGCACATAAACACAGTTACAGAGCACCATGTTACAGCTGCCTAATGGCTATCCGATAAGGCTGCCTTGTTTGTGGGGCAGTGGTCAGTTCTTGTCCAGCACACGCGACGAGGACGTACAAGGACTGACCAACCAGCCGGTCGCATTAACAACTCAATGCCAACGTGGCAGGTAGGAGTCACTTGGACATCGTTCCCTTAACGCTACCACAGAGATCCTTCTGACCTCTCTGACCAGCTCCACAAAAGCTTCATTTCGGCTCAGTTCTCACTCTCTGAAGTCAGAAGATCAAACAAGCACCAGCTCTGTGGTTCCAGGACAAATCCAATCACTCAGTGTCAATATGAGTAAGTCTTTTCTCAAAGTCTGAAGGCAGACAGAAAAGAACTTGGGCTGATCTGCAATATCATATCACTGTGCACCACAGTCTCACATGTGTTTTAGAAAGTGGCCATGATACAGCCAGAGACAGTTTTGATCCTTTAATTACCTCTGTCCACGTGTCACTCCTGAGGAGAAAATCACTGATATTGGCAAATGGCTGCTGTTGGTTGAGTCCATGTTTGCCGCTCATACCATGGCCTCAATTGACAAAAACAGGGTAACACATGCCCACACACATACGTAGATAAATATAAACACGCACTCTTTAGAAACAAGGGGACAAGAATAATTACCACTGAAAAGTATATCCACATATATGGCAGTTTGTGTTTCGTTGAGTGAGAGGGTAAGAAATATTAATGCGAAAGCAGATACTGCCTAAGTAAATTGTGGGGGAAGCATGAAGAGGGAGAGTGGGTGTTGCTATTGAATAAAGTGCTCTAAATTGAAAATTAGTTGTGTAATTTAATTTCATGCACTATTTGTGATCAAATCAAGCAAATAGCCTACAGCCCAGCCTCCAAACTACAAATATCCAAGCTTCACACTTAAACATGCAAGCACATTCTGTGAAAAGTACAGACACGCATACAAAAGTAACACAAAGCCAAACATCTAAAAACACAAGCACACGCACTTGTACAGATTTATTTCTACCACTGAATTCCATCACAGTCCAGCCACTGTTGCATTATTTGTACTATATGGTTACGCAAACATTGACGCACTTCAAAAAGGACTGTGCTATCAATCTTGTCAGCACAAGCCTGCTTTTTGACTACTATAATTAATATGTGTTTCTATGTCCACATATGCGTGTGGCTCTGTCTGGGTCCTGAGACGAGCGAGTATGATTATTGTCATCATCCCAAACCCTTCATTCCATCTGAATGCTGTAAGATGTGGAAGGGTAAGTATAGAAAAACTAAAACATGGGCATTGGAGACAGAGTAATGGAGAGACAGACAGAAAGGAAATTTTGATATAAAAGTACCTTGTGTTTCGTGTACTGTAATTTCCAGAAATGACAAGACAAGACATGACAAGTAATCAGCTTGAAAGTATTTCTTTCAATTCTATTGATGAAGTGGTAACACTTTACAATATAGAAAGGAATTAAGTCAGCATGATGTACTGTTTTACATGGAGGTGGACACAAAGCTGACTAATGATTCATTAATGTTACTGTTGGGTCTCTGTAAATAGTTTTATAAGGAGTATGGTTTAGACCTACTCTATTTGAAAAGTGTCCTAAGGTAACGTTTGCTATGAATTGGCGCTATACAACTAAACTGAATTGAATTGAATTAATGAGTTGTTGACTAGTTTTGTTCAGCTCAGTGGTTGTTTCATAGTTAATCAGGAACTATTATACTATTTATGAACTAATCAACTAAACAGTGGTGGAGGAAGTATCCTTCACTTAACTAAATGCACTACCATCACACTGTAATACTCAAGCAAAGGTCATGCAATGAAAATGTTACTAAAAAGTATTTAGATGTAAATAAATGTAGTTAACGTATTGAAAGTACCCAATGCAGAAAATGTCCCCTGTGACTGTTATACTACAGTGTTATGCTATATTATTAGCACTTTTTGGCATTTTATTCAATCCAAATTATACTAATTTAATAATCACACATTGTGTGTTCATGTGGAAGCTTTCCAATCCATTTACTACCAAAGATAGTAGTCGGTCTGCCCAGTCCCCAGTTTCTGGCTGCTAGCATGCTTGTGCTAATGTCAGTACTACTGTGGCCCTTTCAATGCTCCTGACAACTTCATACATCTCAGGTCCACATGTTCCCACTTAAACACTCCCTGTCATCAATTAGTGAGCTATGTAACCTCTTTGCACCTTCCTCTTTCATTCCCTTGCTTTCTCTTACCTAATCATACACTCTCTTCCTCGTGTCTCACAAATCTGTTACAAAACATTACATTACCACTGCTATAAAAATAAGGAGAGCAGTTTTACCCTCTCACCCCCTCACGTCATTTTAATTCAACCCGTCTCTCACATTCAATCTCACCCTCTTTCACCCTCCTTGTTTATGAATAGAGCATTTAGTGCATGATAACTACAGAAGAAGTGTCACTTGCCTCACTCATGCGACTCCCACAGTGTTCCTTTGCATGTCTGATTGTGAGATTGTGTATGTCTGTGCATGCGTATGCATGTGTGTGCATATTTGTGTGTGATGATGTCAAGCAGAG